AAGGCTGGCCTGCAGGATTCTTTCAAAACCGGGCTCCTCATGCTGTCAGAAGGGAAACACTTGCTTTATTTTTTTCTTCCTTCCCYGCCTGTGCACCCTCTCCCTTCCCCTCCCCTGCCAAGAAAGAAGCAGCTGTTTGGGATCCAGGTTTCTGGTGGGAATGGGCAGGTTGTGCAGTCCTGCTCGGAGGACTTCACGCTGGCAACCGAGCTTGTGAATSAGCCCTTTGACACGGGGCTGGAAACGGTGCCGCTGCCCCGTGCCAAGTTCTTGGACTACTTTGAGAGGGAGGGGGGTTACTGCTCTTGATTTTATGGCACGAAACATGTTTGATCCTTTATGCAAGATGCTTGTCTGGAATGCTTGGGCGCTCTCAACAACTASTAGCCATTTGGTTGTGGCGTGGTGCTGCCTCTTCGGAAGGGMCCCCTTCATGAAAGCCTTTACTGCAGGAGCTTTGTTAGTTTGTTGTTTGTTCTTCCTTGCCTAGGGCTGAAGCTCTGGTTACACCATCACTTTTGCAGGATCTCAGGAACAAAATTTGTAGCAAGTCTTTGAACTGTCAGCTGCCTGTTCCTGGTCTGGGGGAGCAGAATTTCTGGGTGCAGTTCATGATTCCTGTCTATATCTAAATAGCTCTGTGTTTTTAGGTGATGTTGCTGAACTTAAAGCTCCACTTGAACACCGTACAGCTGAATTAATATAATTCTATAATGAATTTATTCTGAATCTGAAATTAAAGATGTTCACTCTTTTTGAACATTGTCTCTTTCTTCCTTTCCCCTACATTTGTTCTTTAGAGTGAGTATTCGTCCCCATATGCAAACAGATTTTGTAGACTGTTTCAGGAACAGAGAATGCAGGGTTTAAAAATGCAACTCTGCTTGTTTGTAGGAATTTGTATCCTGTTTTGAACTGCTTTAACTTTGCTGTTCAGCATCCTTGAGTGAGTGCTGGCAGCCTGAGGTACAGTAGCACCAACGCAGTCACCTTAACCTTACGTGCTCTGCAGAGCTTAGATTGAGCGCCAGGCTTCCTCTTTTGGTTGAGGAGAATRGAATAAACGGTGTGCCCTGAGGTTGCRGGGCATGTGCAGTGACCACATTGTTCCAGGGAGCCTCCCGGTGTGTGTGGCAGCCAGGGCACYGTGTGCGTGTGTGCGCCTGGGCTCKCGGGCTCCTCCTTGCCCCCGGCTCCTTCGAACCACCTCTGTGCTCACGCTTCCTGGACACCCCCTCTCTGCTCTGGTGAAATGCAGTTTGTTTATTCTGTCCTGATCCTAATGCAGACCAGAGAGGCAACTGCTGCTCCCTGCACCATACAGGAGTAACGAGCCCAAGTGGCAGTAGCAGCAGCCTGAGCAGCTCCCTGGCTGTCCCTGAACGTTCCACCTGGCCATGGCTCTAGGCTCCTTCCAGGCTCCTGATGGGCCCCAGCCACAAGAGCAGCTCTGCCCTGCTCTCCTTCCCCATGCAAGTATGAGATTCAGCAACCTGAGCTGCAAAGCCATGAGGGCAGCCTTTGGAAAAATAAAGTGCATTCCCTTCTGAATTGCTGCATGTCTTCTCCTCTTAATGCACTGTTCTTTGAAAATGTGGGGGTGTAATCTTCATTAAGAGTCTAAATATTGCTTCTGTAATGTGTTTTTTATTCCTTTTTGCTAGCTGGCTTGCCCTTTGCAATTCTCAATTCAAGACGTATCCCCTTCCAGAGAGGAGTTTTCTGTAGTGATGACTCCATCCGCTATCCATACAAAGAGGACACCATTTCTTATAAGTTGTTAGCAGGAATAATTATTCCTTTCTGTGTAACTGTTGTAAGTTAAACTTTTCATTGCATTTCATTTCAATGGGGATGGGGAAGTGGGAGGAGGGGCCATCTGTTAAAGCAGGTTCTTCACCCTGTGTTCTGGAGCGCCTTGGCTTTGGGATAGTGCCCTAAGAGAAGGCACAAAAGCTGCAGAGATGTTGCCCTGGTCAGGATCACTAAAGCAGCTTAGCTTGCTATTGACTGTAGGGACTTGTTTTGCTCATCTGAACCAAGCTAATGAAATTCCATAGTCTGGTGCAAAACTGGAGGTGGAGGATGGATTTTCCTTCCCCTCTGTTCCCCTTGCTGGATTTATGAGAGAAAAAAGAAAGGGAGAAGCAGCAGTGCTGCTCCAGAGGTATGGTCAGGAGTCCCCAGCTGTGGGTCTTCTCTCTTGGGAAACTGCCCCTTAGTCTAACAGTGACCTGTCCCYTGGGGCCCCTGAATCCCTGCTGAGGTGCCAAAAAGCTTCAGCTGCACTCGTGTCTTTGGGTGACTTCTAAGCTCAATTGTGTCAAATGTACAACTTGAGCAGAGTTAAAACTGGTTTTATTATTATTGTTATGCCAAATGCGGGTTTAAAATATATAAATATTTAGCCAAATAAACTTTAGGAAATAAAAGCAGAAAAGGGAGTAGATACAAGTACTGTCCAACTGTTTCCCTTCGCTAATGGATTTAAGGTCAGGAGGGTGGTGATGGTCATCTGACTTTCTCTTGGATACAAGGCAGGAATTTTTATCTAGATTCCAGCATTAAGGTCAGCTTGTACATACTTGGTCTTGGATGGAATGATCCTCTCCTGCCCCCAGTAAAAATAGGGGACTGGAAGTCCAAACTGGGACTTGGCCTCATTACATATTCTTGGAAGAACTGACCTTCCCAAACTGTCAAAACCCCTTGGAAGACCTGAATGAGACTTGTATGTCCAGCACCTGCCCTACGCTGTCGTGGTGCCTAGCCAGGAGTTCCATGCACTGGTGTGGCCCGTRGCTCCCTGCCTGGGGCTGGCCGGAGCCACGCAGAGGTGCTTGAGGTGCCCAGGGGCGAGACTCCTGCTCAGCTCCATGCACGTGCATTTGGGCTTTTCACGTGAGCTCCTCATGAAAATACTCTGGGAGCTGAAAAAGCTTACTTTTTTTTTTCTTTTTGCTTCAGGTAGGACTCCTTATTTTTAGACTGGACTATCTTCAGTAGTCAGTATTACATAAGAGCAATCACCCTAGTTGTAGTTGAGGTCTGTCTAGCTGGATGTCCCATTTCCAAYGGTTGTGAAACGGCTGCCTGAAGAGCCCAGGGAACAGATCAAACAAATAGTGGTATTTGCCCCAAGTGCTTCCCTAGCAGCCACTGCAGTTCAGGAACTTGCCGAGTCAGGGAAGGCTTCAGTGAATACAGTAACTTTTAATACATTTCTGTCCTTTTGAATTTGTCCAAACTGCGTATGAACTGATACAAACCATCAGCTGACAAGGCTTAATTCTGTAATGGCAGCGAACTGCTTTTAGCAATCGGACCTTTCTGGCAAGATTACTTCTAAGTCAGGTGAGAGAAGGAGAGGGTGCTGCTTCGCCAGTGCTCAACAGCTAAAGGGTAGCAGCTCTAGTGAGTGGGTGCAGTGAGATGCTGCATGGACATCGCTCCCCTTCCCCCTCGGCCTCAGCTGAGGTGAGAGCTGTTATCCTGGCTGTTGTAGCTCATGACACTAGCAGTGTGGATGAAGTTCACACTGGCTGCCTTTTTCCTCTCAATGATCATCATCAGTAATATGAAGAGCAACTTAAATTAAAAGGAATAAACTAAAGGAATTTGAATTCATTATGTATCAGATTAGGAAGCACTTCACCCATGGTCAGCGAGTGAGTTAAGACAGGCTCCCTGGCACAGATCTGGATTATTGTCTGCCTGAGAATGATCCTTAGTCTACTTGTCCTCACTGCTATGTCTTCTGCTCCCTAATTCTGGCAAGTGGGAATGGCATATAACCATCTTCACGTTTTCGCAGCAGTGTTTACCACGCAATGTGCTGCCAAAACTGTGATTGATTTTCTTCAGCCGTGCTCCTTTAGAAGTTTCTTTCTGGGATGGATAGATTCCATGTGAGRGCTTAATCACCTGTACTCAACCTCAGTCCCTGTTCTTGGTATAGCACAAARTAAGTCTCGTCACATCCCTGATGAAATTATTCTTTTGCCTTACAACTGCACAGCTGCTGGGAGCTGCTTTGCCCAGGGTGTCAGTATGTCTAGAGTATTTTCATTCCCACGAGCTGTACTTTTTTAGGATCATGGAAACTTCATTCTCTCCCTACTGCCTCATCCATTAGGAAAAAAAAATCTAATTGAGCCTTCACTTGCTAAGTATGGGACTTTATTTAAGGTCACTTTTGCATATATGCATATAGTCATGCATCCGTCTCATAACCTGTACAAGCTGAGCTTTTCCCCCAAGGAAGGTAGCCTGTTTGGGAGCATATACATGTTTGTATGTTAACCATGAAGCTGAATTTTGTACTCAGTAAAGGCGGAAATGTCTAGAAATGTCATGAAAACAAATTAAGAACTTTCTATGAACACTTGAGAGATTTCAATACCCCTTACACGTGCAAGGCGAATAAATCGTGAAAACCCTCAATAGTGTCTTTCCTTCCGTGCTCTTACAATTCTTTCCTCCCCTAAATATTTAATTTTTCTGAGCAATAGGAGGTTTCTTTAAATAACTATCCCTTTATATCTGGAAATTAAGTCTCGACCCTTCAGAAGAATCTCTAGCTTTACAAAAATCAACAGCTGAATACAGAAAATAAAACTTCATCAGCAGAAACATAGCTAGTGCAAAATGTAGAATAAAATGTGATTAGAGAAAATGACTTCTAATGAGGTTTATGTCAAGTAATACAGGTAAAWGCTTTATTCTGAGTGGGCTTTGTTTTACTACATATTCTGAAAATCATCATGCCCTGGTTCAACAGGAAACAAGATAAGGAAAGAGAGCTTCTCTTTTACATAAGAGGTTTTAACTATTTGAAAATGGTTATTGCTCTCACTCCTGCCATCCTGTAGTTCTTCCTAGAGCTTAATGCTTACAAAACTGAGTTGTGACACTATGTATCTTAAGCATTATCTACAACAGAGTAACGTTTTTAAAAAAGCAGATGAGTTTCATTAATTACTGTCTCCTCTCTCTTTCAGATAATCGTAGGAGAGACCCTCTCTGTTTCTTATAACCATTTGCACTCCAATTCATTTGTCAGAAATAGCTACATAGCCACTATTTACAAAGCCATCGGGACGTTCCTGTTCGGAGCGGCCGCGAGCCAGTCGCTGACGGACATTGCCAAGTACTCCATCGGCCGCCTGCGCCCGCACTTCCTGGCCGTGTGCCAGCCCGACTGGGCGCGCATCAACTGCACGCTCGGCTACGTCGAGACCTTCCTCTGCCTAGGGGACAAGGCCAAGATCAATGAGGGAAGGTGAGGCTGGGCCCTCGCTGCTGCGGGTTTGGGAGGGCCGGGCTGCTGTGGGGTGCTCGAATGAGCCGCTGGAATGACCTGGGATGGGGAGTGCAGAAGCTACGGCAGGTTTCCTGACCTCCCTTACCATTTACTTGTAATGGATTTTGTGTCTTGAGCCTGTTCTTTTTGGGCTCTGGGCTGCTTTTCCTTACCCTTTGGAAATGGATTTTGGTTATGTACAGAGGAATGCATGAAGTATCCTGTGCACAASTCTGCTTTCTAACAAAATGTGAGTAACAGGCTGAGTTTTGACTAAATTCTGTTTATTTGATTCTAAAATCTCTGCACATCCTAATGAAGAGAAGACTTTGCAATTTGCTTTCAAATTAGGATATGGGCTCGGAAGCCAAGTCATTCAGAAACAGAATCTTAATAAAAATTACAGTTATCTCTATATATCTATATATAAGCATGTCATATATCCTTATAAAAGAATTACTGTATTCAATTTGCTCATTATTAGGTTTTTCCKTACCTTAAATGTTTAATAGATAGCTCGATTGCAGCAAGATAGTGGAAAACCAAAATGATTCACCTAACATACTTGAGTCACGTCCTTGTACGGTGTAAACAGCAGTGTTCGAGTGCTAATGAACCTGTTGAACATGATTAGAGTAATTTGTGGTGTTAAAATGGCTCAAACTCCTCAGAAGCTTTTTAGAGAAGCTTCAGTTCCTCTCAGGAAGACCTGTATCATTGCACATAGAGAATGCCTCAGTGACAGTGTCTTTCAGTGTTCGTCAGCAACTGTAGAAAAATGCTGCATATTGATTTTTTTTTTTTTTTTTTTGCTTAGTGTAGAGGAGTGCTTCATGATCAGCTCTTTGGCTCTTTGTCTTACAAATGCCGCTATTCCTGTTCAGGAGTGATTCTCTTGACTTTTTCTAACCTCTTCCAGACACAGATTGATTCTTTGATGGATTTTTCTGGTCCTTGAGTAGCCCTGTAGAGTCAGAGAGTCAGAATATGCTCCAGGTACAATATATCTCCTCTCTTCCAGGAAAGCATGTGATACACTTCTAAATAAAACTTCTATTGTTCTCTTTCTGTGACTGTCAAATTTGCTTTGGAAAAAGGCAGAGTAAACCAAGGAGTTTCCATGAAAACATACAAAATATACAATACAAAGTATTTCTGAACACTGAAACTACTGATTTTTTAATTATTTTTAAATTTTAAAGGATCTGAATTGGAATAATTTAGGATGCTGAGTTTTTTTTAAAAAAAAAAAAAAGAAAAAAAGAAAACTTTAAAAATCCTCAGCCTTTTGCTGTTAGAATTTAATTTGCTAGACAGGTCAGATCTGGCCAGGAAATGAAGCAAGATTTTTGGCAGTATATTTTTGAGTAATGGATGTCTTGGTGTCTTGTCCATCTTGCAGATTTTAATGTGATGAATTAACAGAAGTAACTGCCAAAAGTGAATTCTTTTGTGATTAAATCTACACGAGAAGATAAATGACAGTTTACAAGACACAAAGGGAGGAATAAAGACTTTCATGTTGCACTTTGTATTGTGGGAGAGGGGGAGACAGGAATCCTGAAGCATCCAGACAAAGCCGGGCTACGTCCTTCCTATGGTCTCCTYGATTTAAGGTGGTGGTGTACATTGAAAATGTCTCAACGTTTTGCTTCAACAATAGCTGCTCCAGTTGTTTTATTTTCATCTTTGCACTGCTATGCAGAAGGACAGTTGTCCAAGCTTCAAATAGGACAAGTTAAAAATGCTACATTGAATCATAGGTGCTTTGTAAATCTCAAAACCAGATTGCTTTCAGCATGGAAGTGACTGCWGGATAGTTCTGAGCTGTCAGTTCAACTTCTGCTTGCTCTGAATGAACCTAAAGAACTTGTAAAATGAAAAATGGGAACGGGGAAGGGAATCTGAGCTGATTTGGATGCCTAAAACGGTGTTGATACAAAACCTTTCTGGTTTTGAGAGGGCTGGTCTGCCATAGTAGAAGTCTCATAGCTTTTAACGGGAAGCTAAACTCCAATTTCTTCTTTTTCTTTCCTTTTTTTCTGTGTTTGCGTGATCCTGGGTAAGTTTTGTAAAGCATCCCATCAGCCTGCRTCATGTCCTCAAAAGCCCTCTTTCATACTAGTGGCGTTGGCTGGCAGAGGGATGAAAGGCTGCATTAGCAGCTTGCAGTTTTAGGATCAGATTTAAAAGTACTCTGGAGTTACAGTTTTCCCTTCTCTGACTAAACAGTAACGTAGAAAGCTTTGTGGTTAGTGTTTTCAAGAAWGATGTTCTAATGTGGAATTTCCTCAGATTGCTTCATGTCTACRGGCAACTGCTTTTTCATCTCCTGGTTGGCTGAACAGTGAAGATGTAGAAAAGATTCATTTTCCATTTAAATATCTTAAATTTGGAGGGAAACTTTCCACAACTTAAAGCCTTCTCTTAACAGTATTCAGTACTTGTCTGGTATTAGGCCTGTATATTACCAGGTTTGCATTCCGTTTCCAGAAGTTGTAGTATTGTTTCATTTGGATTTGGGAGTTGCATAGATAAATATATAAGCAGCCATGAAAGGTAAGTTTGAGTGTATGTTTGCATGCTGAAAAACAAGCCAGGGTCATATACCCTCGCAAAAACCCCAGGGCAACTTACCCTTGAGTGTGGGACTTGTTTTAGTACAATTGTGTGACAGTTACATGGGGGAAGATGTCGCTGAGTGATCTTTAGCTTCTGTTCTTCCCTGTGTCTAGTGCTTTGAAATCTCACTAACTTGCATATAGGAAGCAAGGTCTGTCTGCGACCTCTTCATACACTGACCTCTTGACTTATATTCCCAGCTATTACTGTGTTCCCTCTGCTCTGTCTCCAAAGTTTATAGTTGGTTTGATAATTTAATTCTGATATTGAGGTAAGGCAATCTGTACTGTTTGGTTAAAAATTGCTATGAAGTGATCACAGTTAAATACAAATTCACCTTGGCCCCCAGTCCCAATTCTGAGGCTTTTGCATGTGTGGGAAACTGTAAATAAATAGCAACTAAAAGCAGTGAAGTTAGTAGAGAGTCAAAGATAGGGTAAGATACAGTCCTGTATATGTGGATGTCCTGATGCAGTGATCTCCTAAATCAATCTGACTTTCTCATGGAAGTTAGGCCCCACATTTGAGAAGGTGATTTCAATGCTCCTCAGTCATGTGCCTACATACCTTGCAGTTAATGAGCCACCAAAATAGAAGGGAGTTTAGAGCAGAGGGTGCAGCAGCAAACGGGGGAGGTCCTCATGCTCTGGAGCTGAAATGCAGAGACATTTCTGCAGCAGCTGGCTAAAATTGTCAGGGGAAAACCTGCTGCCATGTGTCCTCACTTGCATAAAGATAGCCTGGGAGAGGGAGGGCAAGGCAGTCATATTGTCCTAGGCAAACTGAGAGTTTCTGAATTAAGCTAGTTGTTTCTGTGTGTTAAAAGAATTGGAGTTTATTTTCTTTATACTTTTTTGGGTATTTTCAGAGATCTGTACTCAGTTACAATAGAAAAGCAATGTGATCTTTTATTCAGTGCTTCCTTGTAAATTCATAACAAAATTGTTTTCCGCTGTAAAAATATTACCAAAAAAAAAAAAAAAAAAAAAGGTTGTAGAAAAGCACTTGTTTTAGGAGTTTGGACAAGTAAGTTTGAAGTCCTGGTACTGCCAGTACAAGTTTTACTGTCTGTAAATAAAAAAGGGAGAAAAGCTCCTCTGCCTCTAGTACTAGTAATTAGAATCAATGAGTACCCTAATACTGCTGAACTGCCTGACAGGTCCTTGACTCACTATCTGTAAAGCCAGCGACTTGCCAAATTCCTTTAGCTTTTCCAATCAGTACAGCTGGGCTAAGTAAAATATGCAGGAATGTTAGGCTCTGTATGATAGGGGTGGAAGGAGTCTCTGCTGCTCTCTGGTTTCTGCAGCTCTAATAGTTCAGGTCTCTCTTTTTCCTTTGGCTGCCAGCTACTTCCTTGCCTTTGCCTGGCTTGGATGCTGCTCCTGCAGGATACCGGAGCCGGAGGGCTGAAGGGCAGGGACGCAGGTGTTGCAAATCTGGCTGCTTKTATGAAGCCTCTTGTGTCCCACCCATGGCAGGTTCTTCATACATCCTATTCAATCCTCTGAATGTGAGAAAGCCAAGGGAGACCACTGTTCACAAGCTGTGATTGAGTATCTTTACTGTTCCTCATGAGTGTGCTGTGTTCTACCTGCTAATTAAGTCTATTTTAAATCAGCAAACAATAAAACTTGAGTGTTCAGTGGAATAACAAAGTAGAACATTTCAGAGTTGCTTTTTTCCTCTAGGATGAGAACTGTGGAATGAGAAATTCCACACCTTAAAAGTTCAGCTTGTTAATGGAACAGTTAGTTAGTTCGTGTGTAACTGCATTGCTCTAGAAACATTTTTGAGGCTCCTCGTACCAAAAAGGGCATCTTTCAAAGCTGTTGGTTCACTTAGGTTATATTGGTTCACTTGGGTTAAGGAGCATTCCCATTAGGGCCCCGGGGAGGTGGCAGGGTGCCACCCAGCCACATTTAGGGATGGTGCTGGTGGAGTGACAGCCATGGGCTCTGTGGGCGGTTGCTGCACCTGGAATGCAGGAGACTTGTTGAAGCAGGGCAGCCTGGAAGGGAAGGTCAGGATCTTATCTGGGTGTGTGTGGGCTGGAGTGTTAGCCCCAGCTTGGCACAGGTGTGCTCTACTGCATGAGAAGCTCAGCCCAAACACAGTGAGGGGCTTAAATTGAGGTCCTGCCCATSCTTTGGAGGAGGAAGGCAACAGAGCCATGGCAGCAAGTTTGCTTCCTCTTGGGTCTGAAGTATCCTCTTTCTCAAACAGGTAAAAACAGTAAAAGAACAAAAACTTCCGGTACTGAAGTATAATGTTTAATCAAAGGAGATCTGAATGAGTGTTATTTTTTTTTATAACCTGTAAAACAATGTAGTAGCTGTTATATATAGCTTGCAGTA